CAAATGACTCATTCAATCTCTGCAAAACGGCGTAAGCTCACCTTTTTTCGTTGAGCCAAAATACATTGTCTTATCTCTACGCGCGTGAAAGCTCTACTTTTATCTCGAAACGATATCAAGCGCGGTGACTTTGAAATGAGATAACACTAATTTATTTACTTCTTTAATCAATTGTACAAACAGTGTTGGACGAACAAATCGGTAGCGCTTGATAAGATGTTGAACGAAAATCTTCAATGCCGTGATAATGAATGGGAAAAAAAATGTCTTCTTCAAGAGAATCATCTGAACTAGTTTCTTTTCAAACAGATTTTTTTTATCCGATATCGAACGATATATTAAACGTTACGGCCTATATTTAAAGTCACGTTACAGATGGTTTGTAAAAATTATTTTTGCTCAAGCAATATTTAATAATTTTATTTCATATTCAAGTGGTCGACCCTTGGGTTTAAAATTTTCAGTTATTTTAGGGTACAATTGTAATGTCATAAATAAAAAAAGTTTCATCAATGAAACTTTCACTTCTTGCAACTTTTTTCACGACATCCGATTGCCATTTCGCTAATAACCAGCAAATTGTTCCCCTAATTAAAAAGGTAGAATTTCTTGGGACTTTCTTCAGCACAAAGTATTAAAAAAGAGGCTCTCCCGCACCACCCGACATAAACCTCCGTAACACGACCGGGGCACGTAAAGCAGCACTCAGCAAAGAGCTGGCAATCCTTCATCGAAAATTATCAGCCGGTACATCGTATAATTAGCGCAGCGCGACCAAATATCCGCATTCGCCTGTGTGCCCCGCAGCTCCATTATCCCCCACAGTCCCACGAAAGAGCTCGGAATCCATAGCGAGCAGAAAACCGAGGAAACTCATACATATCCCCCACCACTCGCACTTTTTTTTTTTTTTTTTTTTTCTACACTCGCCCTCGCGGTACAATTTCTACTACTGTTCCTCATGAATATTTAGCAACCGCGTCAAGTCGTCTGTCGCTTGTATCATACGTACGTATACACATGCACGCCTTCTTCGTTTCTCGTTTCTCCCCTTCCTTGAGCTCGGCTCGCTCGGGCGACCGGATCGTTTCTGAGGGTATTAAGCCACGCGTTAAATAGGTACGAGAAACTTTACGGGATCTTTCTTCTACCTCCCTTCTGTACTTTTTTTCCCTTTTTGCCCAACTCCCTTATAACGAGTTTCTCTTTGATACATCCTCGCGACTCGTAATTAGAGCGCGGTAGGTGGAAAAATATTCTCTTAATGGTCTTTTAATAATCCTCGTACTTTTGGCGAGAAAAGGATGTTTGATGAGGGAGAAAAACCGAATATTTTTGGTTCACGCTTGAAGAAAATTACAATTTTTTCTTTTTTTTTCCACAAAAAAATAGGTGCAAGTGAGATCTAGTCCCGAGTCTTGTTTTCGCAAGTCGGTACATACGATTATTCGGAAGCAGAAAAAATGGGTTGCAAACATTCATTTTGGTGGAGAAAAGTTGGAAAATTGCTTCCTTAATACAAAAGTGGGAATGAGCAATCTACCCTGCTTTGGGCAAATATTCATAGACTCAAAAAGTTACATGGGCGACAAGTTGATGAAACTTATGAAAAGTATACCATCAAAATTAGACAAAAGCTGTAATCTAAAAGTGTTTGGGCAAAAAATAAAGTTCATCAATGAATATCCTCTTTTCTCACCTACCACGTCTCATTACGAAGCTCACCAGATCTCGACACACGTCTAATAAGAAAACTGGTACCTATAACCACGATGCAGTAGCCCGGGGCTTCCGAAGCGGAAGATAGTATACGAGAAGGAGACTTGCCATCGCGCCGTGTAACAGTGGACAAAACGATGGAAAAAGCGGAGAAAGAGATGGATAACAAGTGCCTCGAGAAATACGATTAACGAGGACAGTGTCGAAGCCAGCATCGAACAATACCCTGTTCTTTGCTCTCTCCTACTCCCCCGATCCTCGAGAAATTGCAATTTCACCTGCGAGGCAGCCATCCCGTGTTCTCTCTGCCTTTGAGACACACAATTAACCGGTGATTTGCGCTAACTGAATTTGACGTCGAAAATTACTTCTTATGCACACCACCTACCCTTTCCTCGTTTTCTTACATCAATTATTGTTCTTATTTACCATACCATTGTCGAGTTGAAAAATAAAACAAGTATTTACATTTGCTCTTCAATTGAAAGTAATCGTGGTTAACGCTGAAATTGTAAAATTCCAGGACTTTCCTCATTTAATTGTTCCAACAACGAAAATAATAAGATAGGATGTAAACTGACCCATAAGTAAAGATTTAGATATTACAAACGCATGCTAATTACGTAGTTTTAGCTTACCTACAATTATGTGAAGCAATTTAAATATCTTATTAAATTTTATACTTTGCGCTACATAGCTCGGAACGAAGATCAGTAAAATGGAATCGAAAAATCCTAGATTGCTATGAGGATTTCTAAAACGAGACAAAGAATTTCGCAGGACAGGATAAGAGGGCTGGCGTGAATTTTTAGTCAAACATACGTATTTTTAGCTTTGAAAGAAATAATAATTAATAGGCTACAAAAAATAGTGTACAGTTTACCAGGTAAAGAAAGAAAAAAAAAATCATTATCGAGCGCGACGACACGTACAAACTTTCGATCCAGTGCTTACCAAAGTTAAGCAAGTATCAGCAAAAAGAGAAGAAAGAAAGGCGGGTGGGTGGGTAGGTTCCCGCGTGTGACCCAGTTCGCCCGGAGGAGGCACAAATTAAAACTCGCCCGAACTCTTCGTTGCAACGCATAAACGAAGAAAGACGAGAGCCGCAGCACGGGAGGCAGAGCGAGACGAATTAGTCTGGAGGGGGGGGGGGATGAAATTGCCGCGACAACTGCGCGTAGGGATTAGCATATTTTTGCGTCCGAGAGAACTGTAGGTACCGCTGCTGCACAAAGCTCGCTTGAAACGGGGACAATAGATGGGCGGTGGCGGGGGAGGGGGCCAAGTCGCATCAACTGATCAACTATTTTCGGGAGGAGAGCGAGACCATTCAAAGTTTCCCTCGTATTCTCCACCCCCCCCCCCGCCAACCCAACCCTCTTCGCAGTCCAGTGTTTATAGCCTGGCAGTCATCTCGCCATCGACTACGTCTAATCCTTCGTTAAAGTCTTCGCCCCCGTTGGTTGCGAAGCGCTCGGGCCGACCCCATTGTTCACGCTGCATCACACAAGTTGCGCTTGTACCATTCATATCTCAGCTAAAGTTATTTATTATATACTTCTCGTGCAATATTGACGCACCAACGTAAACATGAAAAGCATTCATTTGTACATTGCCGATCGAGAGCCCCAAAGAGCTCATCATCCCGAAACTGTATCACACGTTCGGCTAAAATCAATTAAAACGCCAACGGCCCAATCGCCCTGATGTTTCATATCCGTCCGGCACGTCAATAAATAAGTGATTTCCAAAAACCCCCACCTGAATAACTGCCTCCCGCCACGTACCGATCGGTGCTTCGTTCCGCTCCGCCGATTCCCAAAGGAGCAACCTCGGCGCTGCGGCTTCTTTTCCTCTCTAGCGTCATTAATTAACGAAACCCTGGCGCTATACGTGCGGTGCCTATTGTTTTAGGACGGTAATATTGAACGGGATTGTTTTCCGCTAACTGAAACGGTCCACTTGGGGATTCGAGAACGCGATTCCTCCCCCTCCCCCAGGACCATTTGATTTGGCTACTCTGTACTTTTGCCTCGATGCGCGATGCTCCGAGGTGGGAAATTGTTGATTGGAGGAGGGTGTCTTGAGTTCATGGACAAGAGACCTTTTTCCAGGACAATCGGCATGACATTACAAATCGTTTAATTATGGGACGTGGCTAAGGTTAGAGGGTCGCCAAAATATGATACTATCTTATAGCGCAGGTTTGTGCAAAATTTAGGCGATACGTCTGATCCATTAAAATTTTTAATTTTGTGAATAAAACTTACTATTTATCGACCAATTGTGTACAATATTTAATACTTGGAGTCAACACTTTTTGTCTCACAATTTCACAAAAGTCACCTTTGGGAAAAGTGATATGTAAGAAGCCACTATTCTCTCAAAGGCTTGAACTTACAGGCGCTGGAGTGAGTAGATCGGTAGATGCCGAGTGCAAAGGAAAGGTGATAAGGGGAGAAAATGGGTGGTTTTATTGAACCGGATATCGGTTAACACATTATGGACCAAATGTCGACGTTAGAGGATGAAAGGAAAGAAAGGAGACACGGCTTACACTTTTCCTCCTCCCGAGGGTGCTGTATTTATATTTCATCAAGCTGCCTTGGCTCGAGCCCGACCAGGGGCCGATATCTGCATTCTTTTCGCTCTCTTCTTTTCCCTCTTTTCCTTCCTTTACGTCTTTGTGCTCGTCGGGTGGTTTTTTTGACTTTTTTTGACTGCAAAGCAAAAACCCTTGGGGTATCTGTAATAACGTATGCCTTCGTAACGTGGCAAGATGGAATCGCGATGGATGTAGGGAAAAAAAGAAAGAAAGCGCGTAATATGCATGCGACGTTGGCAGGTCGCTCGTCCGAGCTTAGTTTCCGAGCGAGTTTCCGTTTTCGGATGGATTTATTCAGTGTGCGCTAATAGACGATAGATGATGAAGTTTCTTTTCTCTTCTTCAGGAAAGTACTATACCGTGAATATCTACCTGCAGAGTGACAAGGTGTCGCTGACTTGGCAACTTAGTGAATGCAATGTTGCGAATAAAGTAGTACCCGTAAATTGTAATCAATGACACTTTTACTGCTTCGTCTTTGATCTTTCCTCTCCAACTTTTGGATTGGATTGAAAATCAACTGCATCGATTAGATTAATTAATTTACTTTGATTTTAAAAATCAGAATAGAGAAAATTACGTTTGCTTAAACTTAGATGTAATTCTTATTTGTTTTTGTATATCAGAGTTTGAAAAGTAACAAAAAACTAAATCTAAAATTGTATTACTGTTTCAGCTCTACAGATCTAAAGATGATGAAGCTGCTGTGCACGACGTTCGTGCTTGTCAGCATGGGCGTCTTCGTCTCAGGACACTACTATGGACATGATTATGGTTTTAATCCTTATCATCATCATTACCCTCACCATAGATATCCACCGGCTCCGTGTCATAGGCCGACTCGACCACCAACAACACAACCTACAACACCGCCAACAACACAACCTACAACACCACCAACTACACAACCTACGACACAACCAACCACAAAGCCTACTACACCACCTACCACACAACCCACTACACCACCAACTACACAACCTACCACTACTGAGTGCACCCATGGCGGACATGGAGGCGGTGGATATGGATATGGGCACGGACGTCCTCCATGTGAACCATCTACAGTGCCATCAACTGCACCACCAACTGCACCACCTACTACACCACCAACCACACAACCGACGACCCCGGAGTGCACTTCTGGCGGAAATGGAGGCAGTGGATATGGATACGGACGTCCTCCATGCAGATCATCTACTGCACCACCAACCGCTCCACCTACTACACCACCAACCACACAACCGACGACCCCGGAGTGCATCCCCGAAGGACAAGGAGGCGGTGGATATGGATATGGGCACGGACGTCCTCCATGTAAACCATCTACTGCACCACCAACTGTGACTAAACCACCAACTGGATCCCATTGTGAATGTGTGCCCTATTACAACTGTCTCAGCAACAATACCATTAATAAGCACGGAGTCAGCATTATTGATATTAGATTCGACCAACCGTATGTTCATCGTTTTAAATTTTTTCTTTTTCGTATTTTCGTTATTTTTTTTTCTTGAAACAATTTGAGCAATCATCATCAATTACAGTAACCCGTGCGAAGACATAATGGACATTTGCTGTAAAATCCCCGAAATCAGGGACAATAATACTTTACCTCTACCACCGAAACCACACACCCAAAGACTGTGTGGTGTCCGCAACAATAACGGTATTGACATTAGAATCACAGGAGACATTGGAAATGTTGCCATGGAAGGAGAATATCCATGGATGATTCTTATCTCGACCAAAGAAACCGTGGAAAACAAAGTAGTTAAGAAGTACAAGTGTGGTGGTGCCCTCATTCACCCACGCGTTGTCTTAACCGCAGCCCACTGTGTCGATAAGTTAGTACTATTGATTAATTAAGTAAAAAATTATACTTGAATACGAAAAAAAACAATCACCATGTATTTCTACTTTGTTCAACAGATACAATCCATCGGAGATCGTCGTCCGTGCAGGAGAATGGGACACGGGTAACACCAAGGAACGCCTACCCCATCAAGATCGCGATGTAAACTCCATCAACAAGCACCCATGGTACGACGGAAGCACCCTTGGATACGATTTCGCCCTCCTTATGCTGACAGAACCGTTTGAACTCGCTGACAATGTCGAACTTGTGTGCCTTCCAGAAAAGGACGAAGTGAGCGACAGCAAAGACTGTTACGTTACTGGATGGGGAAAGAATGCATTTGGTAACGAAAAAAAAAAAAATTCCTCGGTACAAATACGCGTTAGTAGTTATCGCCGATACTGACATCTCCGAAATTCCAGGTGAGAAAGGAAAGTACTCTACCGTCTTGAAAGCAGTCAAGCTTCCTATTGTACCATCGCCCGAGTGTCAGAACAGGTTCAGACAGACCCGACTCTCAAGATTCTTCGAACTTCTTCCTTCTTTCATCTGTGCCGGCGGTGTTCCCGGCGCCGATGCTTGCCAGGTGAAAATTTGTTTACTTGATCATTCGTTTGATGTGACTAAGCAATTACCTCCATTGTGTAGCGTAGAAAAAAATGTCTTTACTGAGTAAAAAGCTCTTAAGAGAGGAATTAACAAAATTTTTGGGAATCGCTAAGGACATTGGGACCCAGTCGTTGTTTTTTTTTTTTTTAAATTAAAATTAAAAAATTACTTCGCTTAAACCACTAAAGTTTTACTATAGAAAACCAAAATGCTTGAAATATGTACTGTAAGTTTTATAACTCGATAAAACTATTTTAGTAAATAACATTGCGGGTATGCTCAACAAAAAGAGAATGGACGATTTTTGGCTAAGTTGGTATAGTATTTTTTTAATGTAGAATCTGAAGGAGGGATTCCCCATACTGGCTGCATCTCGCCAGATGCTTCATAAACGCTTCAAATTTCATTGACTTAGATTTTTAGATACAACCCACGTACGTGTATATCCGATTGAATGCTTTTAAAAATGCCAGTTTCACAAAGTTTTCCCGTAGCTCATTTCAACATCCAGTTACAGTATAGTTCTAAGACTTGTACAATATTCCAGCTGATGAGAAGATCTAAGCAATGAATACTTTTATTTCAGGGTGATGGAGGCAGCCCTCTCGTTTGCCCATCGAAGAAAGACCCGAAACGATACTACGAGGCCGGTATTGTTGCTTGGGGTATCGGTTGCAACGACGATGTTCCGGGTGCCTACGCTAACGTAGCCTTGGCCCGAAAATGGATCGATGAAATTTTCTACCAGCACAAAATGACACCAACTTATAAACTGGAGTAGAATGTCAATGAACGTCAATGACATGCTCCTTGAAAAAATTTCTTTTGCTGTACTCAGTACGTAATAAAGATACATCAACTTAATGCTCACTTGTTATTTATACATTTTTTCCTTCACGATTATGTAATTTACATTGATCATTCAATCATCCACTTTAATTGACATTGACTTTATGATGAGTTTTTAAAAGTTTGTTGATTTTGGAAGTATATTTGATTGTTTCTCATGACATCATACATGTATAAAGTGAAAAGTACACGATTATTTGTGCCCTTAAGATTGAAATTTTCTTAAATTTTATCATAATCGAACGTCATATATATCATTCGACGAAGTCGTAAGAAAAACAAGTTCATACCAGCATATTTCAACTACGACTTTATTGTTTACTTTTTTCATAAACTGTTTTCTTGCTGTATATTCATGCAAATTAATGAAAAAAAAAAAAAAAAAAAACTTCAGTACCTGCTATCATATCTCTAATGCCTGGCACAATGAAAACAGTCGACGTATAGGAATGAACGTCCAAATGGTTTGTACAGACGAGTGCTTTTGCAGTTACACCGCGTACGAGACGCTCATTAAGCTCAGTTCGAGACACACGCCAGTGGGGAACCTGCAGTCAAAGCCCTACCGTCGCATGTGACTCACGTACACGGCCAAACCCAACAGAGTAAAGCACCGGAAATCAATCGGCTAGTGCCGCTCTCAACAGCCGGAAATCGAAGTCTCCACAAATTTTGCGGAAGGGAAAGGGGTTGTTTGGCCTCCCAAAGCTTTCATGTCGGCTCTCGTATCTTGCTCGGTATTCATTTTTCTTCCTTTTTTTTGTGGGTGATAGCGAGTCGTTTTTAATTTTCCTGGTCGGTTCCAACTCTCCGATCCGGCGTGCGACTTGGAAATGAATACGCTGGCTCGTTCTCCGATGCTTTTTCCGGTTACTAAGAGTATTCGTCGGCACTAGCCCGGATTCGTTTGGACATTGATCAAGATATTTTTTTCTTTCGTTCTCTGGTTCGATTATTCATATGAAGGGATGGCAGAGTCCATAAGGGGTAAATCTTGATTTCATCAAATGTTTAATTTTAACTTCTACTTCATGGATAACTTTCTGGGATTTTTTTCAGTTTTCAATGTACCTCTTGTTTAACAAAAGTTTATACATTCATTGATAAACGACAAGCATTGTGATCGAATAAAAAGAACAATCATACATTTTAAAATGTTTTTAATATTAGAAAAATCAACAAACTTATCAAGTTGGAATATTATCAAGTTATGGTAACTATCTAAACTGCAAATTCATGTTGTAGCGTTCTCGTATCTTTAGTTACGTTATGTAGTTCTGAGGATGACGTTGATAACGTCGAAAATTTGACAAGCTAATAGAGTACGATGCTATCGCTTAACAATTTTATTGATTTTCCTATCATTAAATTTATATTGAGAGCAAGTTTAGTGAAACAATTAAGTTTCGTCATGTGTTTGGTTACCGATTATGCAAAAATCTATTCAGCAGCATATGTGTAATTGGACAATTTTTATTTAATCTGGCTTCATTTACACATTTAACGTGTTACATATTATACACTACTTTTTCACATGTAGTCATATTTGTTTGAAAAAATATTTTTTCCTTACTTTGAATTTATTTTTTTTTTTTTATCGACGCCTTATCAATATTTCATTCAGCGTATTTCCTGTTGAATATCATAGTAAGATTAGAACGCCCTTTTAAGGAGGAAATTAATCATTGGCGCAATAGTAAATAATACTTTTCTTACTATATTTATTACAACTAACATTTCTAACTTACATATCGGATTTTACCTCCAACACGTTGTCAATATCATATAAAAGTTATTCGTTACGATGATTAAAACAGTTAACGTATAAAGACCACAATTAACGCTAAAAAAACAAAGTAAATACGATTGTCAAAATTGTTATCTTCATGAAAGCTGTAGGGAAACAAGGAAATAAAAAAGTCAAATTTTTGGTACTTGAACGACTACACGTTGAGCCGAAGTATTATAAGAGTATGTACAGTTCATTCGGCTATATTTAGTAAAGAAATTGAAGCCTGATCGATTTCGTTAAGTATGGTCTAGTCTAAAGTTGTAACGTAACTTAGTTTATTGCCGATAGTTTTTTTTAACTCTTTTTATTTCCTGAACGTTTTGAGTTTAAATTACTAAAGTCACTACAAATGATTTGTACAACGTACAAAAATTCTTTTAGTGCTTACTGAATAACGTGTAATTTAATCTTGACGTAAAAAGATTTTACCTTACGTATTTCTATATTGACATTTTGGAGAAAATATTTTGTTCGATAATTTTGTGAAGTTTTACATTATTAAGTGTACACGAAATAATTTTCAAACATTAATGAAATTACATAAAAACAAAAAAATACGTAACTCTTGCACCTGCGAAAATGAGTGATTAAAACGCAAAACGTCACGCTCATTTTATCGTTAATCTTTAAGTTTTTTACTGTCAACTGGAAGACAATACCAATTAATGTAATGTCAATAAGAGAGAAGATGTGATTGTTGCAACGTCTTGGTTTAAAAACATATGGCATAACAATTTTTTTCGCAAGTTTATAAGGAACATTACGAGTGAAAGGAGGTGGATAAAAGTGCTCTCACAAGTGAGTTTTTAGAGAAAAAAATTGTGTTTTATTAATATTGAAAAAATTAGTATTTTTAAATCCAATCGAAGCAATATTAAAATTTTTTTGAGTTCAAGTACAAGTTCAATCTTATTATATGGGTGCACACTATTTTCTGCTGCACAAAACCACTTTATTACACCGATTATAAACATGCAATGTATTTTTTGTTCATCAAGAAAATTTGCGAATTAACCGTGTGAATTTATTTTAAATATTTGTAAACAAATTTCATGAGAATTTACAAAAAAAATTTGTTTACCAAAATTAATTTTAACAAATTATCAAAATAAGATTATTTTTGATGCAAAGACAGCCAGTAGGGGTTTAAATGTAAAATCATGATCATTTTATCACCAGTCCATAAATCAACAAATAACCTTGTATAACAATTTCCTTATTATTGATTGACATGATTGAAAGTTTTATCGTAAATGTTAAAAATGCAATTTATTTTCGAAGCAGTAGGTTTATAAGAGGTATACGGTATCATTCATAAATACATTTTTTTCTGACATAAAATTAAATACTCGATTGGATTATCTTAAAACAAATGAAAAGTTTCAAGTGATATTAGCTTCATAAGACCGAATGGAGATTTATACTGCTACTTATGTTTACATGATTTAATTACAGATTTCCTACATTAGATATGGCAAGAATTTTGTACGTATTGTTGATGCTAGTGAGCTTCGATGTCTTTGTATCTGGACAAAATCAAAATACGGAGTCGAATTGCGAGTGTGTAACTTATTACAACTGTCTTAAAAACAACACAGTGAACAAATATGGTATCAGTGTCATAGATTTTCGACTTGGCGAGGCGTAAGTTAATCATTTCAATCCCTGATTTTTTTGATTTGTATCAAGATTACCTGCACTTAGTTTGCATTTGACTCCTAATATTAAGAGTTTGCATACCTCCCAACGATCAAACAAAATGAGCTGTAATTTCTTTGTCATAAGAAGCCAATAACAAACATTATGAATTTCAGACGTCAGTGCGAAAATATTATGGACGTATGTTGTACTGTCTCAAACATCAGAAATAACGTCACAGTACCGCTTGACCCACCAAAAGCCCACACAGACAAGGGATGTGGTCATCGAAATCGGAACGGAATTGATTTTAGAATAACAGGAGACATTGGTAACTTAGCCAATGAAGGCGAATTTCCATGGATGATTATCATTTTGGGAAAAGAAGTTATTAATGGAAAACAAAAGGAAGTCTACAAGTGTGGTGGATCCCTTATTCAGAGACGCGTCGTTCTAACTGCAGCCCACTGTATCAATAAGTAAAAAAATTTTTTTTTTTCAATCAGTTAAAAATCTTCATTTTAGAAACAAAGAGCATTACCGTGTGTCTTTCCTCTGTTGGATAGTTACAACACCGCGGATATCGTCGTTCGTGCAGGAGAATGGGATACTTCTTCTACTAAAGAACGCTTACCCCATCAAGATCGCACTGTGAACACTATCATTAGGCACCCTGACTTTGACAGTAGTTACCTTGGAAATGATTTTGCTCTTATCATCTTGGATCGACCTTTCGATCTCGCTGACAATGTCGAAGTTGTATGTCTTCCGAAACAAAACGAAGTATTTACCAGCAAAGGTTGTTACGTCACTGGGTGGGGAAAGAATGCATTTGGTAACGAAAAAGATTTTGTTGGTACTAATGCGTATTAGAGTTTACTAGTAATAATTACATTTAACAATTTTTAGGTGAGATTGGCAATTTTTCTTCCATCCTTAAAGCAGTTAAACTTCCTATAGTACCGTCGCCCGAGTGTCAGAACAGGTTCAGAAAGACCCGTCTTTCAAAGTACTTCGAACTCCATCCTTCGTTCATCTGCGCTGGTGGAATCCCCGGCGCCGATGCTTGCCAGGTCAAGATTTATACAAAATTCCTAACTCTCGTTTCACCATAATTTCGTATCATAATTATTTCGATTTAATGTTAACATGTTCATTTCGAGGAGATGAAATTAGTGGATACTTTTATTTCAGGGTGATGGAGGCAGCCCTCTCGTTTGCCCGTTGGCGAAGGATCCTAATCGTTACGTTCAGGCTGGTATAGTGGCATGGGGCATCGGTTGCAATGATAATGTACCAGGGGCCTATGCTCGAGTAGCTTCAGCACGCCAATGGATCGACGCAACTCTGAAAAAATATAAAATCCCGGTAACCTCGTATTCACCAAAGAGTTCCTAAGCCAACGATTTGTATTATCCTGAAAATAATAATACACACCAGGACATTATTACTAAAACAATTCATCAAAATAAATTCAAAACCTTTCATACATATCTAAAAAAAGAAGTAGCAAAGAGTTAAAAATTTGGTTTCTTTTCGTTCACTTGAGTCTCGCACTTGTTAATTCAGCTCTAGTTTGGGTAAACTTTGACTTTTAGAAAGGAGAGTTTTGAAAAAATTATATTCAGCAGAAATCATATTGACAACTAAAAACTCTCTTATGATAAAACTTTGTCTCGTAGGAAGTTTTGTCTTGAACTTTGCAGAGAGTTAATTGTCTAAATATTTTGTTGAAAGCGTAAATTGTTTTTTTTTCGCTTGCCATTGCACACGATCAGCTGAACCAAAATAAATCACTACAGAGCTATATGCACTCTGTAAACGTTGGAATCCAAAAGACTTTTATCGATAGCACTTGAATGACTTTTATTTTTGTGTTACACCAAAATGAGTATCTGAATTTGAACAGTGATGCTATGCATGCAATAGTTTGATTTTTGCACAAATTTTGTCACTTAGCTCACTTGTCGAATAGTATTTTGTACTGTAAAATATTGAACTAATCAGTGGTCTGTATCAAAGTGAATGGAAGCCCTAACCAGAACAACCACCAGCCAAACGTCTCGCGCGTGACTTACTTCGAATCGCGGGCAAATTGACTACCCATCGATGTTCGATGTCCTATTTCCTCGGCCTCCCTCCTGTGGTTAAGATGAGGCAGATATAGGTGAGAGAAACTCGGCTAGAAGTTGTCAAGTTCACCAATCAAGGAAATCTAACGTGAAAGCGCCTCCAACGAATCATTCGTGTTCTCATGTGGGAGACCACTACTCTAATAAAAATTGTTTTTTCTCTCCCTGCTGAGCGTATAACAGTCTACAGAGTAAAATTATTTATGTAACTCAAGTGGAAACTAACAATGAAATGAGATGTTAATCGTAAATTAAAACTTTTTTTCATTCTTTGCACTAGCGAAACTCGATTGAGTAGTCATAAATATTCGATTATCATGAAAAACAGGTTTAAAATGTAAACTGTATCCAAAGTTTGAATGGTTGCTGTAAAAAAAAAACCCCACAAATGTACAAAGTAAACTGAAGCCCAAACCTAAACCTAATAACCAGCATTCTAAAACTGCGAGGGTAATGTTATTCCGTTGTACCCACCTCTTTTTAACGTCAAGTGGGTCTCAATTCGCACTCCATCAAGCTCCCCAGTCATGACTGAGCTAGAAACTCGCCAACTTATCAAAATTGGCTCCGATTCAAAAGCGATGTACATTATTTAGGTGCTGCGCTTTGGCTGCAAACCAGAATACACCTTCTCTCTATACACAAGAGCACTCCAGCCCAGATATTGTAGAGGTACTTTTCGTTTCATTAAATAAACCTGCAGATAGTGTTGAATTTGGGGGCAAACAGTAAAGGTGAACTCTAGTTGTGCAGTCAAACATGATTGCGATTGACGAGCCCTAAGCGGCTTGATATGTGTACATGTACGTTTCTATAAGCAAGAACAAATGTTACGGAGATTATTTTGCTTTTAAATTTTTTAAATTTTATTTTCTCTTCAAAATTTCTCTGGAACCCAACTCTACGGTCGACGTCTTACAAAACCGAATATACTTTGCATGTTGAATAAAAAAGAAATTATCTGTTTGATCAGATTAAGAAACTGAAATTTGATAGAAATGTGTATATAGTTGAAAATTGGGTGTTGGCGAAAGGAGCGCGCAGGAAGCGAAGTATCCTATAGTACTATTAAAAAAACCAATGAAATACTGTTAAGTGTCCGTTTTCAAAAAAGCGATGAATAGAATTTTTGCAAATTCCAGCTAAACAACGAGAAAACTCGTTAGACAGTACACAAACTCACGTGCCAAGCATGTATCGTGATTTTCATTTTGCAAATGCCGCGCGGCGCAATGGAAAGCCCACGCCACGAATTGCCGCTGCGGCACCACGCGCTGCCCCTACATCATCGTTTAAAATAATATTGCGTCCAGCCGGAGGAGAAGAAGCAGCCCCGTACACCCACTGCGACAAATCACTTCTTTCTCCCCATTCGCGGCTCTTTACTCTTTTTCTCTCGCAGCACGCGACCTCAATACCACAAACGCAAGTCAGCGAGACGCGGAAAATGGCCCCCCGAGGAATATGGCGCGAACGCCGCGACAAGCGTACACGCATGAGCTGGCCTTCATATATTTTTTCCCTGCAAATCCTGTACTTTTCCATTGCCCCTTTTTCCCCATTCGAACGATATCCACACCAGCCGCGAAGCGTTTAATAAAAAAGCCAATCGACGCGGAAGGGAGCGTCGCGATTTATGAATCCAAAGATCACGGCTCCTCTTTTTTTTTTTTTTTTTTTTTCATTTGCCTCCAACTTCCTCGAAGCGCTTTTGGGAACTTTCGCACGCCCCCCGGGGTTTTAATTGTGACGAGGTGTTTGGTCAGCTCTCGCGGGCCAAGAGCCAGGAAAACGGAATGGACTCCAGCGGGGAGGCAGGGTTTTAATGAAAAATTCCCGAGCTATTGCCGCCACTGCGCTGCCGCATATATAGCTGGGCAAAAAAAGCGATTTCCAACTACCACCGCTGCTGTGAATGAGAATTAATGGTGGCTCCTTTTTTGCTTCTTTGCCCGCGCAGGATGACTCTTTTTTTTTGTTTTTTTTTTGTTTTCCTCTTAGGCGTGGAGAGACTCTTCAGTTTGAAAACGAAGCGTACCCGAAAAGACACCGTTAACCGTATTGCTATAGCAAAGGAATATTCATACGTACTCGGAGACGCGTGGAGAGGGAAAGAGTTTGCAGGGCCAAAAAGAGGGCAAGCAAAACCCGTGGAAGAGAGGAGTTTAACGAGCCCCGGGGTCTGCGCGTGGCAATATAATCTTAATGAAGCAATTTCGGTATCAACACGTTCGCCGCGTAACGCCCTTTCCTTCCCGGGCTGCTGGAATAAGTAGAAACAAATGGTCCCTCCTCTGCCGTTGCTGTGCTTCGTGAATGCACGCGCGTTTTCTCTCGCGTAACACTCACTGCAGGTTGCCGCCTCTGAAGCACCACCGTGGCTATTCAAATTTTCCTGTCCCTCCCCCCACCCCGCAATTGTGGCCTACGCGCGCTGTTACAGTGAAATACGGCGGCGCGAAAAAGATAAGCTTCCAATGGTCCCTGGTTGCGCGTTGACGATGCTGTTACGGCCACTGTTTGGTGCGAGTGGGCGCTCAATCGGATACGACCAAGTGGGGATGCCGGTGGTACGATTTTTGCTTAAATTAGTCTAGTTTTTTTAGGCCAGAGTAAAAGAAAACGGCAACTTGGTCGTTGACGAAAAATACTTTGATGAGTTGCACAGATACTGTGGTTAAACATGACATTTAAAAGCATTGAAACAGACATATGTAAAAGTTTTTGTGCCATAGCATCAAACATTACAGAATTTTTGTTTTTTTTTGGAATATTAGTCACGGGTGAAAATTTTAATCAGATAATTTGTCGAGGAGCAAAGAAAATTTGTGAAAACTTACAAGGTGCAAGGCTTTGAAAGAAAAGTTACGTTAGGGAGCAAACTGAGCTATGCGTCTCATGGTTTCGTTATTGCAGGTACCGATTGGACGAGTACAGAAATCCGGAGCATAAAACTAAAGTCCTGAGATAATCAACGAAGAGAGATTATAAAAGGAAAAATAGTTTGCCTAACCGAGAAAGGGTTGACGGTGCCTTAGCAAAGTTTCCAAGCGGTCGTAATCCGTTTTCTTCCTCTTCGGCCGTGCTCTATAGTATTCCTTTGGAGGGTCCTTAATTAAAGATCTGTCAGGTGAAGCAGGCCACGGAAGTAATTACGTTTCGCTGTTTCTCTTTTCGTCGACCAGATCATTTAACTCGTGCATGAGGGGAAGGGGGGAAGGAAGAGCCAAGTATTGAATGTACATTATGAATGCATGGAAAGGCATACAAATGCATGTGAATTGGATGCAAAAAAGAGCAGTTATTTATTCATTTTTATTATCATCGAGCTCTAAACTTTTTTTCCTTTCTGCTCGTAGATAGAGTATATATAAATGTACATTTGAATTTATGAGATTCCAGAAGAGATTTTGATACAATCCTGCCTTATGTCATTTTTTAAGACAGAAGATAACATATTAAAATAAAATATTCAAAAATGTTGGCCGTGTCCTGTCCTTGAATATTTTTTTAATTTATGTAACTCTGTCGCATATTAAATAATTCACAACTTCCATGCCTTTAAATCACATTCCCTTTTTTTCTATAGAAAATGCTGTACAAAAAATGGTAGTGGTTACAAAAAGGGCAAAAGTTAGCTGACATAATATGCTTTATTACATATTGTTTTCTCCTATTACAGTTATTTGACAACAAATTGGATTTAAACGAAGTTAGCGTATCTGCATCAATATCAACTGAAAGTATTAAAAATGATTTAAGTGCTGATTAAGTAAAAATGTTAAGGAGGTCGAAATGCAGTAGGGACAATTGAAATTTACACTGAGAACGCTTCGATTTCACGGACTTCCTGGATTTATGACAAGATTAAAGAGAATCCAGTACTTAAGCAAGCCCGTCTGCCTACCATTACATCCACACGGGCTAACATTAGTCTTAAATATTTCATAGATTATTTGTGATTTATTTAAAATTCTTAATGATATATTAATTAGTACTACAAACTTGAAGCGTTTAAAAAAAATCTACTGTGAGTCATTGTGCCGCGCAAACATCATGTTTATTAAAAGTATCGTTAGAAAAATTATTATTATTATTATTATCATTATTAATTTGAATGATTTACTATTGTTGATTATTTATAGACAATTGACATAAAAAGAGTCGTTAATAACGTATGTTACATACTCGTAGTAAAGCTTTTAAGTACTACGAATGACTAGAAAACATCAACTCTATTTCTTTAAGAGATTTACCTTTGGTATTGGGTACAACGAAATATAAAATAATCGAGCCGACAAACGTAAGGATCCCATACAATAGAAAAGTGCCCCACGGCTTGAGCAAAACAAGCAGTTGAGGATTCATTTTGACGACGATGAAACAAAGTGCGTAATTGTAACTCGCCACGATACCTAGTCCCATTTCTTTGCTGGCAACTGGAAACAGTTCCCCACAAAATGTCCACGGCAAAGGCCCCAGTCCCATGATAACGGACGACTCGAAAGATAGCAACAAGATTAGCGCCGACCAAGGAGTACCGATTTCAAAGAAAAGAGACACGCACAACAATATCAGACAAGTCGAGCAGCTGAAGGCTGAAAAAAGAATGAGGGCCCTGGAACTGAATCGTCTACTGCAAATCGACAACATGATTGCGAAGAATAAACGAATCGAGTCCAAAATCAGAGTGGGAATGTAAGCATTTTTCGGCCCCAGTATGTCACTGAATATCTGTATACAGTAAAAAGTAACGGCTCCCATACCACTAACTTCCGTAACCGTAAAAATGATGGCCACTATCCTCAAGGGCTTCAAAAAACTTTGGGTGCAAAATGTATTTTTCCCCTTGGTATCTTGCCCTTTGTCCTCACAAATCGTAATCGGTTTGCCGTTGTACATTGACCTCAGCTCTTCGAATTCCCCGTCACCTCGAAAGAACATCCACGCGTCGATGGCCTTCCTCATCCTGTTGTTGTTGAGCAGCCATATCGGGCTCTCCGGTATTTTGTAGTTAAGAAACAGCGTAATCAGTCCAAACTGGCTGCTCAACAGTGCTATGGTTCGCCAGTGGAGCCATATACCCAGGGCGTGGCTCACTTCCATACCAATGCAAAAAAACGTGGCCAAAGCTACGTTCAAGGTCGTCCGGAACTTTGGTAGGGAGCACTCTCCTTGGTACACGGCCATCAAGCCAGCTTGTACGCCGATGCACAAGCCGCTCATGCTTCTGCCGATTATGATATGGTAGACGTCGTTTGCAAAGGCTATCAAAATCCAGGCTGCTGTGAACAGGGCCACTGAAGCGCACAAAATTGTCTTTCGGCCGACTTTCTTACTCCCGATGGCTACGACCCAGCCACCAGGGCACATGAAAAGGACCATGACCGATGCAATCCAGGACTGTGTTTCCAGTGCGTCGATGGTTATGTCTGCTTTGCCAAATATTATGCCATTTTCGATTCTCGTCAATTGGGTGCCATTGTGAGCCAAAGGGTTCAACTGATCGAGTAGAACGGCGCTGTGACCGTACGCCAGTCCTATGAGGACGCTCACCGATATGAAGCTCAACGATGTCAGTCCTTGTCGTAAATAGATTCCTAGCATGTCGGAGCTCTTGTCTCGAGGCACTTGCACGACATGGTCGATTAGCGTCAACAGCTTTTCCGTTGGATCGTCTACAATAAAAATATGGATGAATTTTCACTATTCGCAATGCGGAGTTACGTACACCGAATGCTTTTTGATGATTCACTATAATTAAGAACTGAAATATAATCACAATTAACGCCCACAGTGATATTTAATGCAAATCTTACTATTTTTCCAAATGATGTTAAATTTTATCACAGATCAAGAAAATAATCTACATGAATCGTGTTAATTAAAAGGATATTGAGATGCGGAAGTTTTTAAGTAAAATAGCTTACCGGGTAATATTTCTTTCATAATTCGCTTTCAAGTTCATGCACTATTAAACGTGATGCAACTACATCGATTAAACTTATTAGGCATTGGTACAAGTGACTTATCAGTTGGCACCTTATCTTTTTTGAAGTATTTAACATTTGATAAGAACTAATTTATTGATCATAGGAAAAAATCAATTATAAGAAACGTAGTTTTCGTATTGATCTTGACATTTCAGACGGAAAAAGTTGAAAAAATTTTCAATTATTCAAGTTTTTAAATTATATTATCCTTGTACTTTTGAAAATCAATTATTACTACATTGTAATAGCCATTAAAGTCCTTTATTGATAATTTTTTAAATTTTATTTTCTCTTCAAAATTTCTCTGGAACCCAACTCTACGGTCGACGTCTTACAAAACCGAATATACTTTGCATGTTGAATAAAAAAGAAATTATCTGTTTGATCAGATTAAGAAACTGAAATTTGATAGAAATGTGTATATAGTTGAAAATTGGGTGTTGGCGAAAGGAGCGCGCAGGAAGCGAAGTATCCTATAGTACTATTAAAAAAACCAATGAAATACTGTTAAGTGTCCGTTTTCAAAAAAGCGATGAATAGAATTTTTGCAAATTCCAGCTAAACAACGAGAAAACTCGTTAGACAGTACACAAACTCACGTGCCAAGCATGTATCGTGATTTTCATTTTGCAAATGCCGCGCGGCGCAATGGAAAGCCCACGCCACGAATTGCCGCTGCGGCACCACGCGCTGCCCCTACATCATCGTTTAAAATAATATTGCGTCCAGCCGGAGGAGAAGAAGCAGCCCCGTACACCCACTGCGACAAATCACTTCTTTCTCCCCATTCGCGGCTCTTTACTCTTTTTCTCTCGCAGCACGCGACCTCAATACCACAAACGCAAGTCAGCGAGACGCGGAAAATGGCCCCCCGAGGAATATGGCGCGAACGCCGCGACAAGCGTACACGCATGAGCTGGCCTTCATATATTTTTTCCCTGCAAATCCTGTACTTTTCCATTGCCCCTTTTTCCCCATTCGAACGATATCCACACCAGCCGCGAAGCGTTTAATAAAAAAGCCAATCGACGCGGAAGGGAGCGTCGCGATTTATGAATCCAAAGATCACGGCTCCTCTTTTTTTTTTTTTTTTTTTTTTTTTTTTTTTTTTTTTTTTTTTTTTTTTTTTTTTTTTNAAATTTTTTTTTTATAAAAATGAGGGCCCAGCTCATAAAATATATACATATTTGAGCTACCTCAGTTGCGCTGAATAAACTCCAAGTTAGGAGCAGAGCCATGTTCCAAGCGAAGAACAAAACTAAAGAGAGTAATCTAAAAACGCATAAAGAAATGATTCTTGTTACAAGCCTGTTTTTAGATATAAGGTATTTTAAAATTTTTCATTGTATTTTTAATACAGTTTTGTGAATCTGTTATGATATTTTTAAAATTTTACATGTTTACTGTAAAAAACAATTATGTATATTATTCTAGCTAGATCAGTGATTATATTATAAAAACATTGACTTAATAAATATGTTGGCTATGAAAAGTAATATGAAAAAAAGCGCCACCAGCATGAGAAAAATGACAGTGATGGATATCTCGAGTACAAAATCGGTCATGGGCTGCAAACTTTGTTTTTATCCTTTTTTTCTCTTTTTTCTTGTTTTTAATCCTGTAGATTAAGCTATTTAAAAAGTGTACCTTAATAAGATTGTTTCGAAACTTTTTTAAAAACTAAAGCTAAAGTACTTACTACCTTTGAAGTATCACAATTACGAACATTATTTTTAGTATATATTGACCGAATTTGGATCATAAACTGTATTTAAATACAAGAATAACTAAAACTTGTTGTGACCATTATTATTTGATATAAAGTTTATGTTGGAACAAGTGTCACATTAAAGTAACTTATTACGTAAGCAGTTTGTTTTTAATTGAATCGGTGCTAGTTTTAAGATTGTTGTACATGCAAAAATCATTAACCAATTGGATATTTTACCCCTAAGAATAAAATTCAAGTTTAAGTATCAAAAGTAAGCTAGTGACGTTTGCGCAGTAAAAGCATCACTAGCTGGCACTATCAGGTTACAGCGTGACCTGTTAGAATCAGTTCAAAGTGATTGTGGATTCTCCGTTACTCAGCTGGCCAAGCAAAAATGAGCAGTGGGTTACGTGGTCAAAGCTAAAAGCCGGTCGCAATACGACACCCTGTTTTGCCTTTCGGTGTACTGTATGCCAAGTAGTCCGACTTGGGTATAAACTCCGTACAGCGACTCTCCAATGTGATCTCCTTCTCCTTTTGTATAAACTATCCCAGATAACCAGAGATAGAAGCAAAGTCTTGAATTTCAGTGGTATAGCCTGACCGCTTTTCAAGCTACTACAACTATCAGCTCTTCTCTTTTAGGGCATATGGTTAACCAAAGCTTGTTTTGGCGAATATTGTTAACCGTCGAATGATAAATATGCATATTTTTAATAAATAATTCAAGAAGCTCGCTATTTGTAATGTATGTATGATGAGACATTGTTTATTGTAAAACAAAGAAATGGAGCAGAAAAATATAGTGTGACATCATGAAACATGATAATCATGTCAGTAACGAGTGCATTTATTTAATGAGCATATTTATATAACTTACGTGTTATTCTCATGTACACTAGGTATTGAAGATAGATTACCTGCAACAGAAAAGTAAAACAGAATTATGAAATTCAAGTGAGTACAGAAATTGTTAAATTTTTTGTTAAAAAATGTATTTGCGTTTCAAGTAGAGTAAACCGAGTTTAGTCAGACATTTGAAGACCAGTTGGTTTCAAGTGTTCATAAAAGATAAAGATTATTATAATCATGTGGGATTTTTCGTAAATGTGTCGAGGATCAATATGGCTCATTAATTTTACCAGAAACAATTTTACAGCACATGCTACTGGAAATAGAGAGCTTCTAGTACGATCAAAAGGTTAATCCCTTTCCTATGCTGGGCAAAAATAAAACGAGGAAGACTCTCAAGCTAATGAATAAAAATTTTGTATCTTCCTGACGACTCTGTGCACAATTTCCATCTCTTTTACCCTTAATTAAACCTCAATCAAGCAGGTACATCTATGAAAGCACTTTGATCGAAGCGCGTGTTCCTTCTGGCTACGTTTTCTCCCTGTATGTACCTTTGGCAGGCTAAATATTCACATTTATTCGACGTGTACACGCGCACACAGTTGTAACAGGTTTATGCGGATGTAACAGATGGAAATCCCTTTGGATTCGGCTGCAAAACGTAAACTGAGATGCAGCTCCCGACCGATCAGCCGTCATCTCTGGTAATTGGACGAAATAGAGCTACGGGTTTGGCTTTGATCACGGTCTCTCTATACAAGCGCTTGAACGCGTACGTGATCTGATTTAAGTCAATGTGTGTTTTTACAGGTTTAGTAAGGATGTGGGTTACGTTAATTTTTGAGCCTTCGAAGTCATTTTTTTCATTTTCAGTCTTTGATTGAGTAAGAATCTTATTGGCTAGGCTCTGACGCCATCACGTATTAATTTTTCGGTGGAGATGCGTGTTCTAAATTTAACTTTGCTTGTGCTCAACAGTTTTTAATCACCAAGTCTAGTAATTGAAAGTTTGGGAAAGGGGATATTCATTAAAGAGTCGTTTAAATTTATGTGAATTTCCTTGTACATTTGACTTTTAGCCTGAGAGTTCATCGTCGACAAAATTTCTTAGAGACATACTATACAACGTTTCATTCTTAGTTTAGGAGCCCTAAATTAAAAAAAAAAAGTGTTATAACTTTACATTGTACAGTGCCGTCAATCATTATAAATATTTTTACCAAAAAAAAATGTATCCTTACTCAACAGAATTAAATTAAAATTAAAGGCTATTAACCTATTCATCCTCCATTAAACCTACGAAAAAGCAAGTCAAATAATAAAATCGTGTAAGAACATGTAAAGATGCAAGACTAACAGTAAAAAAAAAAAAACAGTGTGCAAAGTATCGTGATTTCTTACAGGATCAAAACACCATGTAAACATTAAAAAACGGACGTAAATACTTTGCAGCTGTCCAAAATAATTCGTCTCTCGCGTGAGCTACCTCAGTTGCGCTGAATAAACTCCAAGTTAGGAGCAGAGCCATGTTCCAAGCGAAGAACAAAACTAAAGAGAGTGATCTAAAAACGCATAAAGAAACGAAGTAGAATAGGGGAATAAAAGGAGGAAAGAAAGAAAAATCATCAGTTTGCATAAGATGTACATCGCTCGCTGTAAATCATAGAGTCACGGAGGGAGAGGGGGGGGGAGAGCGCAGCGTGTACTGTGGAACAGCTCGAGGTGAACTGCTGTTGCTGCTGCGTTGGGAGGGAAAACAGCCGAGGCACACAGTCGCGGTGGTAATGGTATTAGAGAGTACAAGAACAAGCAAAGGGGGGGGGGGTGGAAAAGATGGAGCGCGTGTATGCGTGTACGGGTCTGCTGGGAAATAAGGGGCTAAGTTATCCGAGCTTTACCTCTCGCCCGTCCCCCCTGCCCTTCTAGGGCAAATAAACGCGAGCAGCTCCTGTATGTACTCTCTCGAGCCGTCGTGCACGGTCGACCTTTCGTCATTACGCCTGTTTTTTCTCCCTTCATCTCATTTTCATTTATGTATTACATTTTACTTTTTCTAAAGTGAAGTTGACAGGGGGAGCTTATTGTGATGGATTATTAACTATACTCTTTTAAGGTGATAAATCGACTGAAAATTCACTTTACAACAAATTCATTTGTAAAAAAAAAAAAAAGTCATTTTACATAAGGTTTTTGATTTCGTTCCGTCTTATTATAGCTTTCATTTTCCAAAAGGTTTAACTTCACTTAAAGTGATTTCTTCTATGGTGATTTGTATGTTTGATGACGTTAGGAAAATGTGTTCGGAACTTGGATTGCGATATATTTTTTTTTCTAAAAATTTGTCTATAAAAGTTAAAAGTTCTTAAGACGTAAAAATTTTATAGTTTTTTATCGTTAGATGCACTAATTTTTTCACTGGAAACTTCAT